CCTCCTATGGCAAAAACTTGCTGGGTCTGGTCTCTGAGAAGCTGTTTCATTATCTATCCGTGGTCATGGGACCATGTCACGATGACGGTAGCTGCCACTTCTCCTACAGCATTCACGTTTTCCCTTAGTCTGTCCTAATACCGCCACGAACAGGACACTGAAAGGGTCTTTCGTCAGACCTGGTGTTGAATAATTCCTCTGAATGATTCCATTTATTCCAATTTTCAGGCTTTTATGGAATTGTTCTCAAAAGAAGGGAGGGGGCAGGGAGAAGTCAGCCAAACCTGATAAAGGAGGACTTTGTTCTGAAGCTTTAGGGTATGGTACCAAGCAGGGCTTGCTATACAGTTAATGGGTTTATCTGGCTTTCAGCGGCACGTGATGCACGGTGGCTGCCACCGCACCGCCCCACCACCGCCTCCCATCCAGAGGAGCCCGGCTGCTCCTCAGCTGTGGTTTTAGTGCTCCGCAGTTTCAGTTTGCTGCTCCTCAGCTTCGGTTTGCTGCTCTTGCGCTTGGTTTCCCTTCCTGCTGTGCGCTGCGGTGGCCTCCTCAGATGTGACTTTGCCTCTGCCTTTATTTAAGCCTTGACCAACCCTCCCCGGGATGGGCTCGGTCCGCGGGGGGTGTTGAGCGCATGGGGCCAAGCCGTTGGGAGCATTTCAGGCTTTACTTTGAGCGAGCAAGAGGATGACGCAAATTGCTTTTCAAGGGCACAAGATAAAACAGCTGCTTCATCCTCCGCTGCAGATGTGCTGCGGGTGGCACGCCTTAGCTCTGGGCAGGCGGGGGGTTACAGCCACGCAGTGTCCGCCTGGGCAGGGCCACCAGGTTGCTTGGGCTCCCAGGCCACCTCAAAAGGGAGCCAGGTAGGGCTGGGAAGGGCTTTGAAGACGTGGGATGGAGTTTGTCATGCCAGAAGAGCTCCCGTGTCCCTGGAAAACACGAGTCAAGGAATTACTTATTTCTCGGGGAAGGAGGAGCAGCGCAGATGGGGAGGTGGAGGCCAATGACCTTTGGCTGCCCCGTCTCTCCTTTGGGAAATGCCAAGTGCCTGGGGAAGGTGACTCTCTGCAACATGTCCCCATCCCCTCCCGCGGCCGCCCTGTCTCGGCTGTGCGGCGCGAGCGGGAGAAGCCGCGGGAAGCGAGGGAAGACACTTCCTCCAGCGGCGGATCTGAGGTCACCTCCTGGCCCTTGATCCCTCCAGCCTGGGGTATGTGGGTCAGCGGGGAAGCACAGCTGAGAGCGACGTCCCTTCCTTCTCTCTCCCTGGAGATTCATTTTTAAAGGAACAAATAGGCTCGGCCGCAAGTACCACGCAGTACGATTTTTTTAATGATTTTTTGGGGGGAACAATGAGCTAAATACCGGGGAGGGGGGTTGGATCTGCATCTTGGAGTGGTGATGTTGTTTCTCACCTCCTTGCGCCCACCTCGCTCTGCTCCGCCATGCCCAGAAACCTTTTTCTGCTCAGGAAAATACTGTCAAGGAAGGAGCTTTTCATCCTTTTGGGATGGTCTTGCTGGCAAGAAAGCTGATCCGGTGTCTGGTGTGTGGTGGGACCTGCCTGGGGTCCCTTTCCTGCCATGAGCGTGTGGACGTGGCGCTCACGGCCCTCCCTGGTCCCTCGGCATCGCCAGCCCCGTTGCAGGTCCTGCCTCCCGCGTGCCGGTCCTCCTCTGCCACAGGGTCCCCACCAGCATTGTCACCTGCTGGCAGGAAGAGGACCTGATGGCTGAGGCCCAGAGCTCCTCCATCGTGGGCACAGCTTGATGATGTTGGGCTGGCGGACAAATGAGTCACCTCCCCAGGTTTGACTCTGTCTTGAGCGCAGAGTGGTGCCCCCTCGCAAAAGGAGAGTGCTTTAACCCCCCCCCCCCTTCTTTTTTTTTAACTAAAAAAGCAGTTTCTGAAGCATTTGGTGTTTCCATAAAGGCATCCCTTGAAGAGAGGCTTTCTCGCCCATCACTAGCCGCATCCCCCCGTGGCACCCAGACAGGCAGCTCCAAAACCAGCCCCTTCAGCTGACGCTCCCAGGAGGTGGTTGAACTCACGGCACCTTGAGACTCGATCAAATCTTCGCCTGACTCCTGTCCAAGTTCTGTGCAGCTCTTGAGCTCCTTCCAGCCCCGGCCTCAGCTGGATTCAGTCCATCGTTTCTTTTAGGATCTGCTCGCCCCCACTGCGGCGCTGATAAGGCTTCGTGCCTCTTGTGGCAGCTTGTCTTTGTGTGTTTCAGTATCTCGCCCAGCTTCTCAGCCACAGAGGGTTGCGAGGTGTGGCCAGGCTAGGAATTAACCGTCTCATCCAAACCCTGTGGAAATCAGAAGGAAAGACTCCCCTTTCTTTTTTTAACCTGTGCACTTTAAATCAAGCCGTAACTTCTCCAGCATCGCAGGAGCTGCCTAAGGGAAGCCTTGACTCAGGCTGGTTAAGCCCCGTCTGGTTGCCACTGGAGGAATGGCTGCCTCTGCCTTCCGTGTCTAGGAAAGTCCAGGAGAAGCTTCAATACCGTTACACAGATTGCCAGAAGTAAACCCTTCATCCCCTGGAGCAGATCCAGGAACTCCAGCTCCATGTCCGGAGGGGCAGGTTTGGGGAGACACTTCACCTGAACCCCGTTTTTTTCCCCAACCTGTTGTTTTCTGCCACGGCTTTCCTCCAGCCTTGCCCGGACCCAGGGAAAAGGAGATCACCACCGTCACGCTGGGGCTAAACCAGGGGGGTAAATTGTGCAACCTGCTCTCCGGGGGCTGTTTCGGCGTGAATCATGCTGGGACCAGAGCCGGGGCTGAGGTGCCCCCAGATTTTGCCGATGTTTCTTTCCAGCGCTGGAGCTCGCCCAGCCCTCCCGGCTTCCCGGGGCTTCGCTGGGAAGACAAAACCCCGCTCTGGAAGTGAGGCTATTGTTCTTACTAATTTTAACTTGATGTTCTTCCCCAAGCCTATTTTTATTCATTGCTTGTGGTAAGCCCTTTCTCTAAGGTAGAGCAATTTGCCACAGGACTCTTTTTTTTTTTTTTTTTTTTTTTGGTGTGTTTACCGATTTTAATTGAGCGATATCTCCTTTTTACAAACCCAAAGCTGGAGGAACTTTTAAGTGCCTGTTGCTGAGCCTCTCGCCCTGGGTTTGCTTTGATCTCTGCAGGTGAGTGTGCATTTTTGGGGCCAGAGATTGATACTGCTTATTTGCATGTAAATCTCCGGGTTATTAAGATCAGAATCTGGCCCTTTAAATTTAATACTTTGCTTTATGCTTTTATTTCCGCATTTCTTAAAGTAATTTCCAAAAATAACAAACTTCAAACATGACGGGGCCATCTAACGTTTTACTGCCTTGGCTGGAGTAGAAGGAACATTTCTGGAAGTATATTATCCAATTTAACGAGCCTTTCCCATCTTGGCTTCGCTCCCACCCCTCACCCCCTCTTGGAATTGTTTTGGACGGCTCTTTGGAGCCGTGCCACCTAATCCTATTAGAAGGACTTTCATTACACTGTGCCTTGTGTTTATAACCAAGAAAATCAGCCGGAGAGGGGGGTCCTCTCCCTCTCCCTCGGCGTTTTGCATCTCGCCTGGTGTCGAGACGAAAGCCCGGCGAGTCCCACGAGGTTCCCGCGCAGCCCTCGCTTTTCTTTTTATTGCTCCACTCTGCATTTATTAAGGAAGACTTGGAGTAAATTGGGTCCTTGCGAACTTACAATTAATTTGGAAGGGTCAGTTCTTCCCAGGCTCGCGAGGGCTTCTTTGTGTGGTCCCTTTTTGAAAGGCAGAGGTTGGAGAGGCTCTTACATAGTCGGGATTTGCTTTTAATAGGGACCTGGCTGTTTTCTGAAAATCTCACGGCTCTTAAAGGACGGGTTGTTCTTGCGTGGGGCTGTGCTCAAAGGGTTTGCAGAGCGCTCGGTTTGGGGGAAAAAAAAACCAACAACCCAGCCCCAAAAAAGGGACTAAAAAAAGCAAGGAGCACACGTCCTGAGGTCTGCGCAGGGCAGATTGCGGTCGGCAGCCCAGAGGCGGCACCTGAAGCTGGGAGATGCTGCAGGAGGTCCCTCCGCTTGGGTGCTGGGCAGGGCTGGGGGCCCCTTGTCCATCTGTCTGTCCTGCCCTGCCCTGCACCCCACCGAGGGGACCTCTTGCTTTTCCTCAGAGCTGGTAGACTGAGATTTTTTTTTCCCTTACCACATTGCTTTTCTTGAAAGCCTGCCTTTCCTCCCCAAAATAGTCACAGAAACCGTTCAAGAGAGAAGGTGGAGGGCAGGGAGAAGACGGTGGGCTGAAATAATCTGCAAATAATAAAAGTTTCTGAAAAGAGCCAGCCAGCCAGCCAGTGGTTTTCTCCAGAGGTGGGTTGGAAAGAGGCATGAGATCACGGTCCCGCTTGGACATCGCCTGGCAGGACCAGGGCTGTGATCTAACCTGGCACAAGCTGTGTGTCTCCCATCAGCTCAGCTGCGAGGAGAAATCCCCGCTGAACGTGGGGCGAGGGGGAGGTGGGGCAATCCTGGCTCTGGGGAGCGGGGAGCAGTGATGGGTGAGTGTGGTACCTGGAAAAACGCAGAGCTACAGCTCAAGATGGGAAACCCTTCACTCTTCATAGGCAAAGCCAGGGAGCAGAGGGCTCTCAGGAGCTCGGGGGTCTTTTGGCCACGGAGGTGTCCCCTCCAGAAGTGGCATCAGCATCTTTTCGTGCACAGCAAGCTAGAAAAAAAAGCGTTGAAAGCTCAGTGCCTTCCCTCAGACGTGTATGAACCCAACGGAGGGGAATAAAAGGAAAACCTGGCCGTGCCTCCATCGCACGGCCGCACAGCAGATCGCACCCCGGCAGCACGGGCGGTAACCATGCTCTTTGTGAGCCGCCCTGTTAATTAACAGAGTGATGGGGCTGCCTCTCTGCCGAGACCACCTTCAAAGCTGGAGTCGGTCCCTGGTTGTTCCCTCCTGGCCCCCGTTTGCTGTCCCACCCTGACCATCGCCTTTCTTCTCTCTCTCCCTAGCATGGGTCGGCTCCTTGGCCATGGGCATGATTTTTTTCTGCTCTCCCATCGTCAGCATCTTCACCGACCGGATCGGCTGCAGGACCACGGCAGCCTTGGGAGCTGCCATCGCCTTCATTGGACTCCTCTCCAGCTCCTTCACCAAGTAAGGCTGCAGAGGGGCCGTCCAGCCCCTTGACGAGCTCCTCTTCCTCACTGTTCCCTGCAACCCTCCCTGCCTACACGTTGCTGCTGCCTTTTGGGGCAAAGCAGGTGGTTTCCATCCAGATGAGAGGTCTCCTGGCGTCCCCACAGCCCGCGTGCAGCCCATGTGTGCACAGCCTGTTTCCCTCCCCATTGAACCAGGTTGCTCTTTTGTCCTTATGTAACAAGAGAGCGAATTTTTTACCTGAGCGAAGGTTTTTTTGGGATTGGGAGTTGTTTTATGGGATTTCAGCCCTCAGGTCCTTCATTTGATCTTTAAAACAGGCAGCGAGAGGTTGGCACGCCTTTTGCGGGCGGCTTCAAAGAGGCGCTCGTGGACAAAACCGTTCTCCTTTGCAGCCGATTTCACGTTTGCTACTGAAAGTAAATTAAGGCTTAAAAATAGTATTTGGTGGGTTACACCTGGCAAGAGGGAGTTTCCAGCGCAGGGCAGATGGGGAGAGCGCAGCCGGGGGTTGGAGCAGTTTGTGCTGTTCCCGTGCCAGCTCGGGCGGCGGGGGCAG